CGAGACGATATATATCTCGGTAACGCTTTGTCTTCTAAGGAAACTTTTGTTGGACGCGATCGAATCGAATCGTGGAACGGTTACAACGAATGGTTCATGGTAATTTTTTTTTTTAAATCGAATTTCTATTTCCTAGACGCTTGAGCTGTCGAGATAAATTCCAACTGGGCATCGATTCAAAAATTGGAAAAAAAAAAAAAGAGTTTTCATTTTCATTGAATTTCGGTTGAGTCATGCTCTTTACGAGCAGAAAATGTTCACAAATCTCTCGGATTGCTTGAATCACGCTGACAACAGAGAAACAGTTGTTTACATCGAGGGATCTTGAATATTCGCCAAATTTTCGTGAAATCTGGTAGAATTTTCTTTGTCCGATCGTCTTTTTCGAATCAATTCGTTTCGAGAGACGAACATCCGGTTAAATTTAAAAGGCTGACTTTTCCAGAGTTGCTTCGATGAGTAAGAATCGATCGCGAGCATCACCGTTTCCTGGTTACGCGAGTAGATATAGCAATCGATGATTCACGAACGTTGGAACGATTCGAGACGATTTCGAGTCGAATTTTAATCCGTGGACACGGTCCAAAAACCAGTCGTCCACCCAGAAAGTGAATTAGACGTGGTGATAATTGTCATCCAACGTCGAATTTATCTCGATTAATCGTTCGAAAATTTTGACACGGAATTGTTCATTATCGTACACACGAGTGCGAGGCGTCACCCATATTGGCAAACCGATCCGCTGCTAGAATAGTACTTTTATTTATATTTGTTGTAACAAAATGTGAGTAAGGTTGCGCTATTTCTACGCAATTTAACGAGCTCGTTCAAGGTGACTTTCGTTTTGCAAAATTTCGATCGGAGATCGAATAAAATGTTCGTGATAAATGACTTCCTGTCGTCATCAGAAATATAGAATTTCTAGCGGCGAAACGTCTATATTTGTAACAATTTTCAGGAAAATTAAAGATGTTTCTTACAATTATTATTCTCAATTGATATCAATACTAAGCAAGAAAAATGTAACTATAATATCTCTCTATAAATCGTGTTTCGATCATACTACTCCTCGATCCTTCCTCTTAAATTTTTGTAACGATATGCACCATTTTATATATATATATTGGCGTTATAGAGAGCTTCCTTTAAATTTGACGGGTTGATTCTCTCGAAACTTCGTAATAGCCGAAAATAGTGACGGGTTAGTTTGTGGGCCGCATTAGTTAGAGCACCGAGAGCGATTCCACAGGGAACGAGCCCGGGAAAATAAGTTTCACGCAGGGAGGTCGGCTCCATAGGAGATCGGGCGAAAAGTTTCCGTGGTAAGTCCTCTCCTACCTCATCAACCTTTTACGAAACAGCTAACTCTTCGAATTTATGTTTCCTTCTGTGGCAATGCGTTATCAGTTTGAGATCCAATTCCGTTAAGAAATTCGAAATATCATCGACGATAAAATGAAGTCGAAGGGAAGATCCAATACGAAGAACAAAGATGATATTTCCATGAATTTGAATGAATCGATCTAGAAAATCGATCCATCAAAATTTGCATCGTTTGCCAAGAAAGAAATTGAAAGAAGAAATTCGTTTATAACGTGAACGATAATCGATGCAAGAAATTGAACCTGACTTTCCAAGCTATTTAAACTCCATTCTTTTAAACTCGTCTAAATATTCACCGTTAACGCAACATTCGTGAATTGACACGAATGTTTAATCCCATTCTCGTTTCAATGCATACAAATTCACAAATTTTCCTCGAGGAGAGAGAGCAACAATTTCACGACTGTGAAAAGTGTGATTGTTCCTCGAAAGAGGAGATAGAAATAACCTCTCCTCTTTCGTCTGTCGAATCGAAACTTGACTTGTTATTATCCGTCCATAACAGATGTTCGATCGAATTTTTCTTTTTTCTCGCTTTCGTTCTCGATCGTTACCCGAATTATTAGATCCGATACGTCACTCTTCGCTCTCTTCGAATAGACGATGTCCAAATATTTGCACCGGATTTTTCGTTTTCTCGCCTCTCCCTTTCTCGCCCCCCCTCCCCCCTCCGTTTATATATAACCTCTTCAGCGCCATCTTGGTGTAAGTAAGCGCTCGCACACGTGTCACGACATGTGGACGAGGAATGCGCGATCTCTGCATTGTTCTTGGCCGCAAGAGAACGCAACGCGTATCTCGAGGACGATCGAGACGACTTTTCACACAGGATCGCGCGGAAAAGAATAGCAATCGGAATAATTCGAGGCACGAGCTAAAAACCAATCATTTCGTATCCGGAAATTATCGTGTTCCAATCAATTTAATTTGGATTGTAACTGTTCGAAAGGTTATTAGCTACAACATGTTTCGAATTATCTCGAGTTTGAAGTACGTATCGCGTGCTTTCAGAGATGTGACGAGGATCGGACGAAGGCGGTTTCATCGAAGAGGAAAGATGGTATCGATGGATACGGATGGATATATAATACCGGATATTAACTATCGATGGTATAAATAAGCGATTATCGACGCCGACTTTATTGGAATTCTAAATATTGCCATGGACAAAAGCGGATGCTTTTCTATTGACACGCTAGGAATCGTTCGCGCGGAACATGTTTCATTTGTCGCCCGCTTTTCAATTAATGCGTTCACGCTGCTTTTAAATTCGCCCTCGCTACTAATAAATTACATTTCCATTTTACTGTTCCGATCATTCGTGTTATTCGCTCACCCTCCTCCCCCTCCTCCCCTCCTCCCCCTCCACCTCTATCGCGGTGTATCACGGAGGAGTCCACGGATCGATTCGAATTTTTGCTCCCCTCCGAATAAATAAAATTCCTTCCCACCCTTCGCGTAAAAATCGAATCACGCTTCGAAATTCGGATTGCGGGCAACAAGATCACGACCTGAAACGGAAGAGGTATACGCGGAGATATTTGATCGAGCTGCTCCTTTCCACTTTGTGCCCAACATTATGCACGTAAATTTGATTAGTTGGCCAGGCACGCGATCGATAAGAGCTTGCGGCGAGACACCGACAACCGATCGGAGGAAAAGTTGATTTTGCCATGTTCGAGTAAAACGAAGGAGAAGAGAGCGAAGAGAGAGAAAAGATATTGTCCTTTGTCGGTTCAGTTCAACGCCGTTTGGAAAACGGAAAACGTTTGATAATTTCATAACGGGAATGTAATTGTAATTTGCAGCTTACGTATTCGTCGTTGCTCGTAACCAACTGTCACCGACACTGTATTTCTCCGATTGCGCTTGGGGGGGATTTTTTTTAAATAGAAACAATTTTCTGAACTGGAAGGAAAAAAGAAAATACCAAACAAAAAAACAAAAAAGAAAGGATTAATTTTTGATTCTACGTACATGTAAAAACGTAGCAAGCAGGAAAACAATGCGCAAAATCTCTAACGCGGTAAAACACGGGGAATCGGTCGAACAATTTGCTCGTCCGAGTTACTTTTATTTTTCAACAAACGCGCACACAGCGATGAATCGAGTGTGTTCCGGCATCGTAGCGATTTTGTTCACCGAGCCGGATCCGGATCCGTCGCTTCTTTTCGTCTCGTTGAACGATCACCGATACCCAATCGACCATTCGCCTCTTCGAAAACTTGTCCGGATTTACGTAATGTTTCGTGTAATGTTCCGTTGACTCGTTGGAAATCCAATCGCGGCTGGAATCGATTCCACGACCGATCTTCTTTGCTCGAACGATCGAAAGATCGAGAGCTTTTAGTCCATTAACCTTTTCTCTCTTCCTTTCTTCTTTTTCTCCTCTCCATCGGGATACAATTACACGAGAGATGTACTCTTTTGAACGTCCTTCCTCTCCCTATACAACGAACGATAGTAATGGGGGAAAAAGGGAAGCAGATCCCTCCTCGATCGAGATTTCCCCGTGAAATTCCACGACTCTTATTTTCGTGGTCGCCGTTTCGGATGACCTGGTTTTCGACCAAGTAGCAGCGTACGCAATTCCCCCGCGGCAGAAAAATCCGGGAAACGCACAACGATCCTCGTTGCGCGCAAGATTCCTCGAACGTCGCGCGTTATTTATAATCCGTATTTTTCTCTGATCCGTGCGTTCGATCGAATCACGCCAACTATGCGCCATCGGTTATAACGTAACGTAACTCGCGTTGCCAAAAACTTTTGTCACCTTTCCCGAAATCCCTCGTATCGAACCGCATCGTTGCATCACTCTCGGGATCGCTGCTTGCTAGTTCACCCGCGAAAAGAATAAACGACGCTAATTCAAGGAAGCGCCCTTCATTCTAATTAATAACGAACGACGATCGACGATGCAATTTTCGAAATTGAATTTTTGAAATTGAAACGAAGCGGAGGCATAGAGACAATGAGTATTTCGTGCGTATATTTCTCGTTCCCGTATGGGAAGGCGACGGCGGGTTCCTCTCCATCGCTTCCTCCCACCCCCTTCCTTTCCTCCTCCAGAAACCAGAGAGTTTGATTTCACATCAGCGGGGGGATAATAGGATTATTGCGCAAGCATCGATTGCTGCAGCTGAAAGTTATTTATGTATGCAACAAAATATCAAATGTACGCGTTTGACGAGGAATCGCGTAATCCATTTCCACGGGAATAAATCTCGCTAATAGGATCTTCCCACTTCGAGTCACTACCCGATACTTAAACGATAAACTAATTCCGTGGACGTTATTAACTCGAAAGGAAGGATCTAATTATAGATCGATAATGGAAGGGTTCGTTGAAAATTTGCATATCGTCGTACGTATATATATATATATATCTCGTGAAAATTCTATCTAGAAGAGAGACTCGATCTCCCCACACCACTTCATTTTATCTTCTTTTTTTTAATCCACCGAGTTATCCACCCAGTTGAAATTGCTTTGACGTTTAGTCGATTTCCTCCGCGCGTTTTTCTTCTTCTTCTTCTTCTTCTTCTTGACACGTATCGCGAATTAAATCGTGCTGATGTATTAGAATTTCGGGAGATACTTCTTTCCTGTTTTTCCAGAAATAGCAATGTCTCGGGTGAAAGATCGCCGTTCGAAGGTTCCTGTTGCAGCGGGCAAGGCGTCGGCGCGGATAGCACGGAGAGCGAAGAAATGGAGGAGGTGTCCAAATATCGGGTGGTACTGCTCGGTGATTCCGGAGTCGGGAAAACAGCCCTCGTCTCCCAATTCATGACCAGCGAGTACATAAACACGTATGACGCCAGTTTAGGTAAGCTTTAGGTATCTCGTTGAAATTGATCGGCGCACAAAATTTAAATATACTCTCTTTCATTTCCCCTATTTTTTTTTACCTCTAACCACGAGTTTCGATCTTGATTAAAATTCGTACAGATCCTCGTGGAGGAGATAATGGAACGTTAATAATGGAAAGAGGTTTTCTTATTTTCTCAATTTTTTTTCTTTTTTTTTTCTTTAAGCACGGTAACGAGACGAGTCGTACTTTTCTTCGCATCAGGATTCTCATTCGTGGGTTCACAGGGTTGTGGCCGGTTCACGGGAGATTTACTTTTCGCCTTCGATAACTCCGATATCGCGTTGTTCTCAACACGATTTCTTCTTCGCTTTGCGTTTCTGCGCCTCCTTCTGTGCCCTCCTTCCGTTCGATTCTGGGATCCGAGCGACGACTCCGCTCCAATGGAAGAATTTAACGCGTTGACTCGAGAGAAAGATGGTCGAATAAAAAAAGGAAAAGAAAACAGAGAGAAAGATGCCGTGAAATTTACCAGGTGTTTGTAGACAGGTGTGTTTTCTGATAATTCTGAATAATCCCAGTTTGTAAGTTTCGCAACAAGTTACAAAATTTCCATATCGTATGCCTGGTCACGAGCTGGATTATTAGGGGATTAAATGTAATGTTGTGAGACCTAGTTATTATTATTATTAAAAGTTTCCCTCGATATTCTTCAAAATTTCTTTCCACGTAATATTATTCCACGAAGAAAGGATTAATTTCTAATAACGGAAACGCGCTACACGTTTCTCCTTATCTCGAGAAATTTATACAAAAAATTCTACTATGTATAAATTTGGATTGAATATTTTATTCGACAATTTTTCTATTTACGTGTAACGAAGATAGGAGGTCTCGTTTAGACGTTGAGAGGCGGTGATACAGATCCAGGCAAAGGCTCGATGCATCCCCGGTTTGAACGAGTTTCGCGGTTACGTCGAACGTTAATTATAAACGCACGCGTGAGATGACAGGGGAGAAGGTTGCGGGTATAACGAGCATTTCGTTATTCTGATACTCCGCTACTCCCTATCCATAACCACCTGGCCATTTTTAACGGGTTCATCTCGCGTCCTCTCCCCGTCCTTACAATTTCACCCGACCGCGATCGCGAGGCCGTGGAATTTAATCCCCGCGTTTAATTAACACGCTCGTGACTTCCATTCGCTCAGATTGCTATCGCGTTATCTCTTTGTTATCTCTTTCCTTCTTCAACTCAAACCTCTCTTAACTCGATCGATGGTAAAGATCTAATCTAATCTATCTCTTCTCGACATTGGTATGATTTTTCATAATCGTAGGATTATCTAGATTATCCTACGATCTGATTTTGATGATGAGAAAGATTTGAACACTTTCGATAAAAAAAAAAAAGAAGATATCGATTTTCGAATCGAAAAGTTTCGAAGAATTTCGATCTATTTCCATCGTTAATTTTTACGATTTTTATTTCTAGAAGACGAATCTCTGATTCTCGCGGAACAGATTTCTGGGCGGAGAATTTTATCGATCCTCGTTCATTGAATACCACACAGGAAACTCTGGTTCACGATTTTCCCAAGCAAAGCTCAGTTTCCGCTTAAAACGAACACGATCCGCGCAGCATGCGATAATGGCGGTTTCATGTAACCCTGCCAATGTAGATCGTTAACGTTCCTCCTCTCTATGATTGTACCACCCACCTGTCGAAGCTGTCTCGCTTATTACAGGACAATTATTGCTCGACACGATGCGCGACCGATTATACGATACTCAACGGCCAACTTCCGCTACATTCTTCGCGTGTTTGCCTTTTTGCAACGATCGATCGATTCGACGCCTCGAAAAAACAAAAACGATCGTGCCACGTATTTACATCGCGTTACGATCAACGATCAAAGGGGGTTGAATTTCATATGGGTTTTATAGTAAGTAAATAAATCGCGATAATAAAAACAAGAATCGCAAATAAATAAATTATTAAATTCCGAATGAAATATTAAATTTTCATATTAATATCGAAATTTTGCGCAAGGACTATGTTTGGTTGATATATTTTTTCACACGTTAAGAAAGAAACCATCCCTTTTATCCCAAGTCGCTCCTTCGTAAGTAAAAAAGCACAAGAGAGAAACAAAGATTGAAAGCAAAGTTGCATTATACCTCTATCCATAAACCTGGATAGTTGCGTTAAAAAGTTGAGAAATCAACTTACAATTTGATGAGCAATTATTCAAAAATTTCAAATTAGCGTGCACGCTGCTTGTTAACCTTGTATCTTGAGAATTGTTACAAGTTGTCTGTCGTTACGTTAAGAGGGCATTAGGAATACATTTGCGGAATACAACACGCTCACCTCGTTATATCCCGTTTCATTCTTTTTACTCCTACTTCCGCTGGAAAACGGAAATTCAATCCCTCGCGTATATATATATATATATATA